CCAAAGGGGTATTCAATACCCTTCCCAAGACCAAGACAGGATACAGGTAATATTCACTGTCCCAATAAATGACTTAAGGTAGTTGTGTAAGTAGAATGAATAAATTCATATAAAGTACTCAGACCAGACCCTGGCATCAAGTAAGAGTTTGATGGTTCTGATGATAAAGATGATGATGAACAAAACTGTTTGAAAGGGGTTTGATCTACTTTGATATATTTCTCATCTAAATAGCCATGCATGTACCCTTGTACCAAATAACCATTCCTCCTGATTTATATATAGGCAGATACATTGAATCAAAAACACTAATACAAAATTACCTAACATAAGAATTCTGTTTTGATCTAACTTCCAGAAATGATTCAGAATTAAGGAGACATGTTCCTTGCTCTTTATTCTGGGTTCCAGTGAAGTTGGAAAGACTCAGATAAAATAACAACTGAAGAAATCATTTAAATTATTTTATCCACCACTGTGCCCACACTAGATGTGCATAATATTTGTGGAATGAGTGTGTACTAAATTATTGGTACAAACTGATAAATTAGAGAGGTAGGAGAAGAACTGAAATGATATACTCCCAGAAAGCAGAAAAGGAATGTGCAGAGTGAGGGTGAAAATAGAGACAATCAGATCTGGCAATTAACTGATTTACTGATAAACTTCAAGAGAGTAGATAAAAAGCAAGTCCGTGTGACAGCTGAATTTCTGCAAAGGCCCTTGTTGAGCAGAGCTCATTTCTGGGGCTGATTGCGCGTTCCATTAACAGGTGCCTCCCCTGGGCTCAGATTTTCATCTGAAGGCAAAATCGTCTCTTCTCCTTGTTTTGACTGTTTAAATGGCTTGCAGCATTGGTTTTGAAGTAATTCTTTACAAAAATTTCCTTTCTCTGCCTCCATCTATAAACTCTCCCAGCAAAATCACCATTTTTAGTGGCAGCTATTTCAAGGTTTTATTGCACAGTCATAAAAAGTGTCATGATATGGAACACTAAAATGACTGTGGTAAATGTGTGGTAATTATATTTCATTGAAATTCCTAGTATGCTTGCCACTAAGAAGATTTTCGAAGCCTTTAGCTAATTACTTCATCTAATAGGGTCTGTAACTCTTTCAGAGGGTCCATGGTAGAGAAAGTAATTGACACTTGTCAGTGACTCTTGCTTTACCCGAGGTAGATGTGTAAAAATATGCATACCTAGAGTGTATGTGGATGTACATGTGTGTGCATGTATGCACAAATACACACATATATGTGTACTTGATTTTGTGTGATATCTCATCCACACCAGAGACACTGCCAGACAACTAGTGTGGTTAAACTCCTCTTCAGAAAGAAAAAAAAAAAAAAAACTCTCTTTCCCTTGATCTCTATCCTCACAGGAAATCAACCAGGAATTTGGCTAATGGGAAAATGTAAGTTAGATTCCAAATACACAAATTTGCTAAAAATTCTGCCTATGTCTTTGTGTTCCATCGGAATCTACTTACACCATCATTTTTTCTGGGCCAATGAGAAAAAAGCAGGTTTTTTGTTTTGTTTTTTGGGGTTTTTTTTGGTACTGAGGATTGATTGAATCCAGGAGTGCTTAAACGCTGAACTGCATCCCCAGCCCTTTTTATATTTTATTTAGATACAGAGTCTCACTGAGTTGCTTTAGGACCTCACTAAGTTGCTGAGGATGACTTTGAACTGTGTCAGCCTCTGAGCCACTGGGATTACAGGTGTACACCACCGTGCCCAACTAAAAAAGCAAATTTTTAAATAGATTTGGTGATGACAATTCAGAAAAAAAGAAAGGAAAGAATTTACTATAATTGTGTGATATAAAAATGAACACTTGAAGCGAGGTGCCTGTAATCGCAGCATCTCGGAGAGCTGAGGCTGGAGGATCACAAGGAATAATGGTGCACTCCTGTTGTCCCAACTACTAGCAAAGTAGGATGGGAAAACAGCTTGAACCAAGAATTCATAACTAGCCTGGGCAATAAAGCATGATCTATCTCAAAATATTAATAATAATAATAATAATAATAATACCAAAGTCAGTGTCATTTGCAACTACAGACAGACCATTATTTATTCAAAAATAAAATTGGTTCCATTTTTCAGATACAAGGTAGAATGCTTCTTAAGCACCTATATGCCTGTGGCTTTGAATGCACTGGCCCCTTCTTTTGCTACTGGAGACATCAAGTAGTCAACTCTTACTTATTAAATGCTAGAGGTAGATACCTGGTAGATGGACAAGTCTCAAGTCATTTGGACTTAAGAGTTATAGATCTACACACACCTTCAAGCACCACTAATTCCCATTTTTTTTTTTTTTTGGAGCTGTGAAAAGTTATTTATTTTGCATCACTTTTCACTAGCAAGAATCCTATATGGAATATAGCTATTTTTTAGTGTAGTTGTCTCTCAGTTTCTGAAAACTTTTTGAGAATTTCACAGCACCTTCTGGAGCTAATTGGACATAACTGTGAGGCCTGGAAATCCAGGGTCTCCAGCAGAACCTGGCAACGGGTCACATGTAGTTTTCAACCATGTGTAAGTCACCTGTCAATAACCTTGGAGAGAGAATGGGCAAAACTGGTTATTCTTAAGTAGAGCACATGTCCTGAAGGATTGATGCACTGGTTGTATTTAATAATCCAAATGGAGTCATTTTCTGACCCAATTACATCAGTACATTTCTAGAAACACCTTTCTTTGCAGGAGCCGCATCCGTAGATACCTACATCCTCCTCAAAGACTCATGCATCTGAGCTGTTCTGAAATATATCCCTCCTTCCTTCCCAATGGACTCGATGCAAAGAGGACCCCAATTGCTAATGTATAGCAGGGGCTTTTAACCCCAACTGCACATAATAATCACCTGGAGAGCTTCTGAAAATCCCAAGGTCCAGCCAAGTTTGAGAACCCCACACGTGACCTACCTCCCTTGGGCCTGATCATATTAACTTCACATTATTTTTAGTTAAGTCTTCTCTAAATCCTTAGACTATTCTTGTTTGTTCCCTTTTCATGAGTCCATTAATAGGTTGCCTTGATTCTCTCACAGAAGATGCGAAACATTCAAGACATTCTAGCCAAGGTTGGATGTGGTGATGCATGCCTGTAATCCCAGATACTAGGGATGCTGAGGCAAGAGGATTTCAAGTTCAAAGCCAGCCTCAGCAATTTAGTGAGGCCCTAGGTAACTTAGCAAGACCCTGTCTGAAAATAAAAAAAATAAAAAGGTCTGCACCCCTGGGTTTAATCCATGGTAGTAAAATAAACAAATAAATACAAATAAAATATACATTCTAGCCAACCCACAAATAAAAGTATACTTTAAAATGGTTTGAATCAAACAAATTCAATGACAGCAAGAGTATAAAGGGCCAAAACAAAATCATAGAATGAGCTCTATGTATCTGGGGTCTGGGAAGTGTCCAGTAGAAGTATCAAAGCAGCTCAGAGTCGCATTTCTTCAATGTAAATTCCCTTAACAGAAAATGAAGGGTGACTCTAGGTCTCTAGTTCATCATGATATTTCTGTGTACAAGTTTCATTTACCTTCTGCCAAAGCCTTCTGGGACCCTTGGCCAATCTCAACTTGGCATTAGTACACTTTGCAACCAAGATATTACTCCCAATGTGATATGGACACAATGAGGGGATAGATAGGAGATCATTTTAAATGGTGCATGAAAGAAATCTTTTAAAAAATATTTATTATTTTATCAGATTTGGAAATATATAAGTGGCACAACACATAATTTTGCAGATATTATTGTGTTGGCCACAATTTAGAAATGTGTGCATTTAAAGTATCAATGCATAGAGGCACATAGGTGATACTCATAAATAGAAAGGGGGAAAAGATAAAAGTTTGATAATGCTTCATTTCTCAGTACTTTCACTAAATTTGGTCAACTTCTAGTTGAGGCTTGTATTCTTCCTGACTCCCAAGTTAATACATGAGGGAGGAGAAGGGGTGGGGGTGCAAGTAAAAGGAAGTTACTAAGTCCTTCCACCCGCCGCCAGTACTGCGGATTGAACCCAGGGGTGCTTAAGCACTAACCCACATCCTTTTTTTAATATTTTATTTGGGGACAGGTCTCTGTAAGTTGCATAGGGCCTCCCCAAGTTGCTGAGGCTGGATTTGAACTTGCAGTCCTCCTGCCTCAGCCTCCCAAGCTGCTGGGATTACAGGCGTGCCCAACATGCTCAATTTAAGTCTTTAAATGTAGAGAATCCCATGAAATGACCTCCCCCACTCCAAGGGTGAAGGGCTGTTTTTCCAACCAGTTACACAGGAAATGTTGGAGACACTGAGCCCTGAAGCAGGTCATACTTATTTAGAAATGAACCTATAGCATCTGCAGCAGGCTTGATAAGTAGCTCCAAGTAGAAAACCAGGACAGGTTCCCATGTGTACCTGTTTCTCCTAGCAGCATCCTACAGGGTGTGCAGGTTTTGTAGTAAGAAAAGAAGATGAAAGGCAACCTGGCCAGTTTGCCAGCACCTGGGATGGACTCTGATTAAACCCATTTCTGTCTTCCTCATGAGCCACCCTTCCCTGTCTGGTGTTAGAAATTCAGGGCCAGAGAACAAAGCAGCCAGGTTTGTTTTTCCAGAGCAAGAGGGGTCTGGCGAAAAACAGCCCTGACAGCTGTGCCTGGGTCTTGGTGAAGGAAGGGCTTTCACGTGTTTCTTCCAAGACTGTTTAGTCTGCATGCTGAGGATTCATATATCAGTTTTGGGCTCCCGTGTCATTGGGGTAGTTCTGATTTCCATTGATTTCGTCTTCATCTGTATTTGCCTACAATGAAAGAAGCAGAACTGAGAACGGAGTTATTGCAGGGTCACTTAAAACTTGGCTTTCTTCATTCATTCTCACAGCATGGACAGTGCTTCTTTAAAAGGGGGCGGGGTGCACTCCTAAGGCCCTAGTCCTTAATAAATAACACCTGGATCTGAATCCTCACCTCCTCTCCCATTGGCTTTTACAGAAATGGCAGTGCATTGAGGACACATCTGGGAAGCTTCGAATTCACAAGTGTAAAGGGCCCAGTGACCTGCTCACCGTCCGGCAGAGCACGCGGAACCTCTACTCTCGCGGTTTCCATGACAAGGACAAAGAGTGCAGTTGCAGAGAGTCTGGTTACCGAGCCAGCAGAAGCCAGAGGAAGAGTCAGAGGCAGTTCCTGAGAAACCAGGGGACTCCAAGTAAGACAAACGTTTGTGACCACCGCAATGGCGGGCCACGGCCATAGATAAAAGTTCCCCTTTCCACATTTCAGATATTATCAATGCACAGGTTTCAGACCAAAAGAAAATCATTGTTCTGTTTAAAATAAGAAAGCTAATATTAAATTGAAATTTCACTCTCTAAATATTCCCACGTAAGCATAGAATGAAAATAGGTTTAGTAAAAACACCAGATTCAAGACTTATGTACAAATAAAAACTATAAAATGGTTATTCCAAAGGGTAAAGAGTCCATTTTATTTTACTTTCATGCTAATGTCCTGATTTGTCTGCCTTAAGTTGCTTTAAACAATAATCCAAGGCATCAATGCATATGCATTTCAGAGGAAAAGCATAAACACCTTTTATTTTTTAGGGCATATATTTTAATCTGTTATGGGACAAAATATATATATATATATATATATATATATATATATATATATATATATTTAGATTTTGTCAACTTATTGGATATTGTTAACTGGCAGGGTCAAACTAGTTGAATTTGGTGTGAAATGTATGACCTGGGATTCTATTTATAAATATTATCAGGCCACTTTGAGATACCTATCATTATTATAAATATGAAAACCAGCCAGCCCACACTTTCAGTAGAAGAATGAGAGTCTGGCGCCATCTAGTGGAATAATGTGAAAAGTGGCTCACTTCTGTGGTGGTTTTCTATACTCCTTTGGAAAGAAGAAACATGAATTCTGTGGCCAAGATCTGGAAATCCAGTCACTCATGAGAAAAATATATGCCCTTAAAATGGTGTTTTTATCTTGGATGAGAGGTTTTAGGGTTATGAATCCTAGATCATTCATCCAAAATCATGAGTATATTCTTTATATATGTGCATATTTTTCTCAAAGTCGATTAACTTTCAACAAATTCTTAAAAGAATACATAACCCAAAAAGCTAAGAAGATTTTCCTTCTTCCTGAGGGAATATTCCAGTCTCAAATCATTCGCATAATGCTATCAAATTCAAAATCAGAACTGGAGGTGTAGCTTAGTGGTAGTGCATTTGCCTGATAGATAGAAAATCCCTCTTCCAATCCTCAGCACCAAAAAAAATAAATAAATAAAAATTTTAAAAAAAGAAAGAAGAAAAGAAAGAAAAAAAAAGAAATTAAAAACCAACAAGGGACAAGGTCTCCTGACACTCTCCTTGGGGAACAAAAGTGAATCACAAAAGTTTATCTTAGAAGCAGAGTCATTCCTTCTCTTTAGAAAGTTAGAGATCACACATATTTTTCCACGTTGGGCACAAGCTGTTTCAATTGCATGGAATATTGTGTGTTTGAGAGCAGAAGTGAGTTTCTTTCTTTTTTCTACAATAGTAGAACTTGTGGGCATGCCCTGTGACCTGCTGTCATGGAGGCCCACCACTCAACTGAACAGGGCAAGGTCCTACAAGAGCTGTCTTGGAGCAGAGAGATTCTGATTCCTTGTCTGATTTGCCCCCTTCTTTTTATTTTAGCATCAGGTTGGAGAGATAAGGCCAGAGGAGTGTACCCACAGAGTCTAAGTGCATCTGGTAAACAGGGGACAATGTTTGCACATTAAAGTTCTTAGCTGGGTGGGACCCAATGAGCAATTAGTAAGTAACATTCCATGGTCACCAGAAAACACGCTGGCCTGTGCCTTGACTTACCCTCCATTTGCCAGATATGGAAAGTCACTTGGCTGACATAAGGAAAATTCAATTATTTTTTAAACATATCTTTCCCTATTTGTGCAAATACAGGATATCTGGAACATTCAGCTTTTTACAAAAGCAGCCCAAAGTCATAGTAAAACCATAGCCTGAGAGGTTCTAGTCCTAACTCCCACTGCCTTGCAGAATGTATGAGATGGTCAAAGCTTCAGTTCTCTCATTCATAAAATAAGGATGATAACACCAAATCTACGAGCTTGTTTTGAGAATCTTAAAAAAGATCATAGATTCAAGATAAATAAAAGGTGTACAAAGCATAGTAAAAGCTCAGTATATATTTGGGGTGAGGGTAACAGGGAATTGAACCCAGGGGTACTTTACCACTAGCTAAAACACTATTCCTTTTTATTTATTTATTTTATATTGAGTCAGGGTCTCTCTAAATTGCTGAGGTAGCCCTGAACTTCCAATCCTCTACCTCAGCCTCCTGAGTCTCAGGTTACAGGTGTGCGCCACCACACCCAGCTAAGGATTATGAATATCATAAGTGGTAATAGTTTTATCCAAACGTCTTAGTGTTTCATGTTGAGAACTAAGTGTAAAAGTGCACAACCTGCCATCAGTGGAAAGGACCTTGAAGATCACCTAGATTCGTCCCCTCAGTTGAGATTCCCATGAGATGACCATGAGGTGGCACTGTCAGAACAAGAGCCCCCCTCCCCGAGGTGAATCCCGGAGCCCCGCGATGCCCCAGAGCAGAGCAGCCTGTACTCCTTGTCCCTCTTCACGGCCCTCACAGTGCCGGTGATCATTTTCTTCCTTCCTAAACTGCATCAGATCATCCATATTAACCTCACTTCCCTCATTTGCAGAGTACAAGCCCCGATTTGTCCATACCCGGCAGACACGCTCCTTGTCTGTTGAATTTGAAGGAGAAATATATGACATAAATCTGGAAGAAGAAGAATTGCAAGTGTTGCAGCCAAGGAGCATTGCCAAGCGTCACGACGAAGGCCACAGGGTGTTGGGAGGCCGCCAGGCCGCTGGCGGTGGCAACGGGGATGAGCTGCTGGCAGACAGCAGCAATGCCGTGGGCCTACCAACCACCGTCCGCGTGACACACAAGTAAGAAGGTTTAGGTGTTCTCTAGGTTTCAGATCAAAGTGGCCCCCTGCCCCCAGATCACCACCGCTTGCACTTTGTAAAAGGTATCAACTTGGCTTTGGAGAGGTGGGCCAAGGCCTGGCCTCCAGGACACTTGGGGGTTAAGGAAGCCACAGGGGTGTGCTTTGTGTTCAATCTCTCATTAAGGCTAATCAACTGGGAATCCAGCCAGGGTGATTCTGTCACATCTTGACTTAGCAGGCCTGGGGTTCCTGCCCCTAAGCACTTACCCTTTAGTAGACAGCAAGAAGCAGATGCAAACGGTTATAGGAGCTGGGAGAGGCTCTTCCACATGCATGGACACTGTCCCTTAGAGCATTGTAAAGTCACAGCCTCAGAAACAAAACACAGGGGTCACAAAGAAGCTCTAGAAAACTGGTGTCCTTTGGGGATGGGTGTAAGTTGCAGAAAACGCCTGACCTGACTCAGATTGTGAGAACAGGGAGATCCTTGAAGTCTAGCAGACAGGCAAGCGAAATGAATCTTCTGTGGCTTTCAAGGACTCACGTGGTCTTTGGTTCCTCCCCAGATCAACTTACTCTCTTGATAAAGAAATGTTTTCTTTCTGACATGATTAGCAAGACATTTGTTTTTTTCCTAATGTCATCACTTTGGGAACATGGGGTACTGTGAGTTCTGCCACGGTTTTTATCTCTGGGACTAGTCTCCAGGCACTTGTAGTTGTTAGAATTACACGCTAAGAGATTTAGGCCAGGGTTTGTTTCTCTTGACAGTAGAGATTGACCCGTATCCCACCTACTTTCTCTCTGTCTCCCTAACACTTTTTCTTTGCTTCAAAGTTAATGGAGGAACAAGGGGTCCCCAATACTGGGGGAAGGGGGGAGAAAACTTGACAGAGTACTTAAGACAAGCTCTTTTTTTTAGCCAAATGAATGAAACAGAATGATTATTCCCATTTTTTATTCTGCATTTCTTCAAATAGCCATCTGCATTATGGTTGTGGATACCTCTTTTACTTTTCTTTCTTTTTCTTTTTTTTTTTTTTTAATACCTAAAAAGAATTTTTTTTTTTATTGGTCATTCATAACATTACATAGTTCTTAATACATCATATTACACGGTTTGATTCAAGTGGATTATGAACTCCCGCTTTTACCCCGTATACAAATTGCTGTATCACATCAGTTACCCTTCCATTGATTGACATATTGCCTTTCTAGTGTCTGATGTATTCTGGGCTGGGGATGTGGCTCAAGCGGTAGCGCGCTCGCCTCTTTTACTTTTCTATGTGTATTTGCTCAGGCTTTCCAAGCTTGAATTTAGGGTGGAAACAATTCATGGGTTCATAATGCAAGATGCCTCCCCAGGTGATCTCAAGGATGATCTCAGTCACAGAGAGGTGACACTCTCCTTTGCCGGAACAGTAGCAGGGGACACATTCTCATTTGCCCTTGTCTAGGGATCAGCTCCAATCTCGCTGCTTCTACCTACTAGTAAAGGGTTTTGAGGATAATAAGTTCTCTTTGCTATCTATCCCTTGTGTTTTTTATTATTAGAATATAAACTTATTTCTCATGTTTTTATTTTTGTTGTTGTTATCGGTTTTTGCAGGTGTTTTATTCTTCCAAATGATACAATCCATTGTGAGAGAGAACTGTATCAGTCAGCCAGAGCCTGGAAGGATCATAAGGCATACATTGATAAAGAGGTCAGCATGATGTCCTTGTAAGGTTATTCCAAGTCCAGTTCTTGTATGGTGGTGCACGCTTGTAATCTTAGCAACTCGTGAGTCTGAGCCAGGAATATTGCCAGTTCAAGGCTAGCCTGAGCAACGTAAAGAGATTATCTCAAAATGTAAAAATTTAAAAGAAGATCTGGAGATATAGCTCAAGCAACCCTGAGTTCCATCCCCTTACCAAAAAAGTAAATAAAATATATACGGATTCAGTTTACCAGAATCTGGCAGGATGGGACATAACCACTGTATGAATCTCCTTTTTTATAATTTCATGAAAAATAGAAAACTGTTCAAAGTATTTCTAATTCTCCTGTGGTTTAGTGATAGTCCTGCTGAAAACAAAACAGGGTGTGAGAAGAGAATGTGGCTTGACTCAATGATATTTTGACCATCTGTTCAACAAAAGGATTCAGTAATAAAAGAAGCACCTGTTAATGTTTATCCATTACACTTCAGCTGGAATACAGAGATAGATGTATTCTAGGCCTTGTTTGTTTTTAAATTAATTGCCATCTTGAATAGTTATAACTAAGGAACACAGTAAACAGGATGAAAAGAAAGAAGTATTTTGGAAAGAAAATCCTGAGGTTGCCAGACACGGTTGCACACGTCTGCAATCCCAGCAGCCCAAGAGGCTAAGGTGGGAAGATAATAAGTTCAAAGCCAGCCTCAGCAACCTAGGGAGATCCTGTTTCTAAACAAAAAAAATAAAAAGGTCAGGGGGTGTGGCTCAGTGGTTAAGCACCCTTGAGTTCAAACCCTGGCACAAAAGAGAGAGAAAGGGTGGGGGCAGAAAAAAAGATCCTGATGTTAAAATGTAATGATTTGAATACATTTTTCCAGATTGAAGTTCTGCAAGATAAAATTAAGAATTTGAGAGAAGTGAGGGGACACCTAAAGAGAAGAAAGCCCGAGGAATGTAGCTGCAGTAAGCAGAGGTGAGCATGTGCCCATCCCTCAGTCTGCTGTCTATGCCCATTTTTACACAGCTAGAGTGGTGAGCACGAGGCTCATTTCTCTTCTCCCAACACCAAGCTTCATATGAATGCATTAACATAGTATTATGACCTCACCTATATAAGTCAAGTATGCCATGAATTTTAAGCAAAAGATTTTTTTTAAGTCCTGACAAACCACAATAGTGACAACAGAGTAACTGCCTGCCGTCTATGTTGCTTTAAAAAAAAAAAAAAAAAAAAAAAAACTCTTTGATCAAATGCAAGGTTATGAAGACTCATTTTGTAACCCTCTGGCCTGCAGCTATTACAATAAAGAAAAAGGTGTAAAAAGACAAGAGAAATTGAAGAGCCATCTTCACCCCTTCAAGTAAGTGACTCCTTTTTCCGTGTTTGCTGGGAGTTGAGAACCGTCCACTGGTCCCTTGAAAAGTAGCAAGGGATCCTGAGGTTTCAAATGGTGCTGTTTTGGCAGAGATAGATCCACATAGATCCTTGACACATAGTTCAAGCCTGACCAAGGGACCACGCAAGGCTTCTGTAATCCTGTGACGGACAGCCATGCGGAGCTTCCTCTGTAACCCTGCCTGCACACTCTGCTACTCATAGGAGACCAGGAATGGGTTTTTCTGCATACACTGCCATCTGTAGAAAGTGGTTAAGAGTTACAGACCCTCTTAATTAGGTCAGTGTATTCTAAAGAGCAGCCTGTTATAGCGTTGAATTCTGAAACTGAAAAGAAATACATGGGTATTTTAAATAATCCAGAATTTGTACATAAAAAGAGATTTAGCATTTGGACTGCAATGAAGTTTAATCCTTGTGTGGAAAAGCAATAAATAGCTGGGCATGGTGGTGTACACTTGTAATCCAGTAGCTCAGGAGGCTGAGGCAGGAGATTCGAAAGTTCAAAGCCAGCCTCAGCAACTTAGAGAGGCCCTAAGCAACTCAGTGAGACCCTGTCTCTAGGGAAAAAAAAAAAAAAAGAAGAAGAAGAAGATGAAGAAGGCTGGGGATGTGGTTCAGTGGCTAAGCACCCCTGGGTTTAATCCTGGTACCAAAAAAAAAAAAAAAAAAGCAAGATAATAAAGTTGTTTTTTTTTTTTTAAATCAGCTTTCCAAACCTATTTTTAAAACTGTCTAATGCAAGCCATCTGGTTCAACTAACCATTGACTCTATTGGTACTGAGCTAYCAGAAATTTAAGCCCCTTGTCCAAAGGGTGTGGCTAACAGGATCCATTGATTTAACTTGACATTTATCTCAATTGATGCTTATATGTAAATAAGAAAAAAGGTGTTGATGGTTTTAAGGTTTAATAAGTTCTGAGTCCGTTGTCACTTATTGAGTTTGCCCTCACTATTGCTGATTATATTTTGAAGTTCTCTGTAAAAAGTAAAGGTCATCTATTATTGGATGTATCTAAATGTTGGTGCAAGACTCACAACAACAATCCTATTTTTCATCAAGAAAGTACCTTCTCATCATTAAAAAAAAAAAAATAAAATCCCTTCTATTGGAACAGGGAGGCTGCTCAAGAAGTTGACAGCAAACTGCAACTTTTCAAGGAGAACCGCCGGAGAAAGAAGGAGAGGAAGGAGAAGAAACGCCAGAGAAAGGGGGAGGAGTGCAGCCTACCTGGCCTCACCTGCTTCACCCACGACAACAACCACTGGCAGACGGCCCCTTTCTGGAACTGTAAGTTGCTCCTTCTAAATGCCTCTTCCCGCCACCCTGCAGAGAAATGGTATGGCCCATACCATAGTTACTCAGTCTAGGGATTCAGCAGCACAGTTCCAAGAATCCAGGGAGATTCAAGAGGAAAGCATCACATTATATTTTATACTCGAATTATTTTTCCAAAAAAAAACCCCAGATTTTTTTCTTTAGAAAAATTTTTGGCATTTTTTGCCTGATGCATTATAGTTTCACATAGTGGTGGGTTTTGTTTTACATATTCATACATGCCCCTAGTGGTATTTTTTTTTTAATATCAAGCTTCTCTCAGGGTTTTTCTTCCTGATGATGTTTCACAGAGTAGCCAGTACCTGGCAGAGTTACTACCCCGTAAGACTGCTCTATAAGTAAATAACAATGAATGCAGGGACAATTTCACCCCCCAAAATTTTGTTTCTACTGTATTTCACATGCATACTGCAAGTGTAACATAGGAAAATAAAAGAGCGGTGAGGGTGCCTTAAACTCTGAGCCAATACCCACTTCATCTCATCCTACTTCAGTGTCAGCATCCTTCTTATAGAATAGTAAAGACTCCATAAAAGTATTTGGCTTTGCATTGATTCCTTAGGATACAGAATTATTGTGCACTTTTTAAATTAATGTTTTTATTTTCTTTAATGATCTATGTACAATATTTACCTAGGACGTGTAGAAATAGTACCTTAAGAGTTCTGTGGTATGTTCTCCCAATTGAAGACTTGCCAGCCCATGGAGTAGATAAAAGCTCCCGTCTCCCAATTGAGATGATCTCTGGAGTCCAGGGGGGCCTGTTCTCAAACTGGGATTTGGAAATCCCAAGGAATCCACAGACCATCTTTGAGAGGGTTGAAGTCCTAGGCAGCAGGATTTTTGTTTTATCATTTTGTTTTGATGTTTCTCAGTTTGCATTTACATTCATATTCACATCAAGACCAGATGACTCTGAAAGTTATTGCATTTATCTTAGAGTTCCTAAAATGGAGCTGGGGACTCTCTGAGGGTTATTCAGATTGCTGAGGGTCTGTTCTCTGCCCGGCTCTGAGCTACATATCAACAATACAATAACGAACAGGACACCTTGTTCTGTAACTTCTTAATAAGTTCTAATGGGGGAGAGGGTGAGCAAAGAAAGTAAATGAAATAAATAAACTAATTACAAGTTGTAATCATGTGATATGGGAAACCGATCAAAAATTTTAAGGGGACTCAGGGTGGGGATGATGGGTATGTTGGTCAGCTTTTCATTGCTATGACAAAATTCCTGAGATAATCAACTTTTAAAAAGGAAAGGTTTATTTTGAATCACACTTTGGGAGGTTTCAGTCCTTAGCTGGCCTCTGTGGTTTGGGGCCTATGGAAAGACAAGTCGTCATAGGGGGAGCACATGGTAGAAGAAGCTGCTTGCCTTACTGCAGCCAGGAAGCAAAGAGAGAAAAAGGAAGGGGCCAGGGTCCCAGTCCCCTTCAAGGGTTTCAATGCCCCCAGTGATGAAAGACCTCCCAGCTGCCCCCACTCTCAAAGTTTCATMACCTCCCAATAAYGCCCRTCTGGGGAAGGAGCMTTTAATCCTTGAGCCTTTGGGARACATCCCAGATCCAAGCTGCAGCAGTGGGGTGACACTGGAGCTGAAACCTAAAGAGTGGAGAAAAGTCACCCCAATGGAAGGGAGCCACATCCCACAGAGGGAACACAGGAGCAGGGGCTCTGAGGAAGTGACCAACTTGGTGCATTCTAGGCTGGAAAGCCCCTCAAAAGAGGGGACATTCAAAACAGGGAGCTAGAGTTGGCTCCCGCCAGAAGCAGGTCCTTGTACCTCTCTGTGCTTTCTTGCCTGAGCTGAGGYACCCTGCCCAAACCTCTATTTCYTCACCTGCACCCCTGCCGGGCCTCCTATTTGATCTCCCAGACTCCTCTTGCTCTCACCAATCCATTCCGCACAGAGTCAGAATGAGCTCCCAATAACATCCTCTTTTTTCTTAGACTAAAATGCAAAATCCTTAACATATCCCATGAAGCCTTGCACSCTCCAGTTTAGTCCTACTCTGAAACCATTTTCTCCCTCCCACCCTAGCCTACTTCTCTCTTGCTCAGGCATCCGGAGCCCTCTCCCTACGCCTGTCAAACATCGACTCGTCCTTTCAGACCTCAATTGCAAAGTCACTTCTCATAGACATCATCCCTGGGCCTCAGACCAGGTTAATCCCCTACCACACACCTAGCCCCCCTTATCCATGGGTTCTGCACCCTCACATTCAACTAACCACGCTTGGAATACATTCAGAAAAAAATGCTACCTGTATGAACATGCACAGACCTGTTTATTTTTTTTTCATTATTTTCTGAACAATAGAGTATGACAGCTATGTACACAGTTGTATTAGGTATTCCAAGTAATCTTGTGATTTAAAGTATACAGCAGGATGTGCACTGTGCAAATACTCAGACATTTTCTGTAAGGGATTTGAGCATCTAAAGACTTTGGTATCCTTGGAGGATTCTGGAATCAATCCCACACGGATACTGAAGAACAGCTGCACACTCTGAAGTGAGCTCTACTGTGTCTCATTGCACTTATCATATTTGCAATTATACATTATCATTGTCGTTTTTAGATTTTGTCTTCACTTAACATTTGTCTTCCCATTGGACTTCCAGTTTCTCAGGTAGGATACCATGTAACAATGTAACAATGTCTCCCCTGACACAGAGGAAATGCAGAACCAATGTTAGGTAAATAAATAAGCATACAAGCAAACTACCCCGTTCAAGATCAACTCAGTTCATGTCAATTTAACTAAGCTTTGAGTGCCTGCCACTGGGTGTCACCGCTAGCGATGTGAGGAACGTAAAAGGAGTAAGATAGTCTCCTGTCACTTGGCTTTCAGGAACAAAGTGGAGAATAGGCCTCATTTAAACCAAACTTGTGTTTTTTCCAGTGGACAACATTCTTGGTATTGATCTTCTGGAACAGCTAGAATTTCTTTTTTCCACAACAAACCACAGTTAAAAAAATATATTTTATATTAGAATCCTGGGTACACATATGCAAATACATATGTGTATCTATGTGTATGTGTTACGTAAATGGTATATATGTGATGTGATGTACATAGTGAAATTTAAAGTGTGAAGAGTAATATATGTGATATGCTTTGATATATTTTATCTCCTATTCCATATTTTAATGTTCTTATTCCCCTATTCCTTCTATTAGCAGTGCCAACTTGAATCCTTGGCATTGTAGTAGGTACTCAAAAGTAACAGCAAAAAAAAATAAAAAAATAAAAAAAAAAAATATATATATATATATATATA